CCCTGCGCCGGCCCGGGGGGCCGGCGGCGCGGGAGTGGAAGGAGTCCGAGGCGGGACCGTTTTGGCGCCCGTGGGCAGGCGAGTTTCGGGCAGCTGCCCCGCCTGCCGTGGGGGGATCGCTTTAAGGCACCCGCCCCACTTAGGGCCTCAGGCTGGGACCCGGTGGTGAGGGTGGGCCCGGGTCTCCTACTCCCCACACCCCAACCTCAGCGCAGGTCTTCCAGGCTGTGATAGCCGAACACACTACCCAACCTCACCCCTCCCTGCCTAGAGGGTGCGAGAGGAAGGGATCAAGACTAGAGGGACGGATCAAGAGCCCTGGCCGAGCGGACTGGGACGGCGCCGGACTGGGTCGGCCGAGCCCCCTCGTCCCCATACAGGGTGAGGGGTGATCGCATCCAGTCCCGGGCTCACTTACGGACCCCGGACATCGGGACTACGAGGCTCTCGAAGGCGGTGGGTTCGCGGAGCCTCACCCCACCCCGCCGGCCCTGATCCGGGGCGCGGGCAGGGGTAGTGGGGTGTGGCGCTCGCACCCTTAAAACCCGCCACACTGAGAGCACAATGTGATGTCGGTCGATTCATCCAATTGTATGGCAAACAATGGAGACTTCTTTATTTCATCACAACTTGTTAACTGATGTTCTGTGATATCTCATTTATCCGTCTTGATACTGTGTCGTTAGAGACAGATATATCATTCAGCTTCCTTGCTGTTTCCTCGCCAAGAACAAGCCGCACCATCTCTTTTGCACAGGGGAGCACAAGTTGCTGTACAGTGGTGTGAGGCTTCTTAGCGTGTTCAGCTTTGTATGCAACCATGTAGGAAGCACACACTGCATTGCTTGTCTTATTGTAGAATGCACTTGTTGAGTTGAGGCACTGCCGTTTCAGACCTGATAACTACCGCTCAAAATAATCTTCATCCTTTTGCAGTAAGCTGAGGTGACACTTTTCGAGGTGGAGTTTCAGCTTAGCCAGCTTCACTGAGTCATTCCCCAAGACTTTGAAACAAAAAACATATTGTGGCAAATCCACGCCTTCTTTTTCTTGACAAGTGAAGCCGAATTTGATCTAGTCCTCCGAATATTTGCGCTTGACATTTCTTCCTGTCATTGCCATTATAAACAAACTATACCACACCTGTAAAACGGCACTTGTAGCACAGGATGAACGACACAGCAACTGCTCAGCACGATGGCGGCAGCTACACTGATGCTCAGAGCCTCAGATGGAAGTTACTGGCAACACAACACGGTTGTGTCCTAGGTGACACCACGTGTTTGTGAACGTGACCTAACCGCGGTGCTTGCTCACGCCTCGTGACTTTGGACAATGTTCCTGTGGACCCACCAGTTGAGAACCAGAGATTTAAGAGCTCCTCATGGAACTGTATTAACCTTTTATTGTTCTTCCTATCTTTTCCTCACATTGGAATGGCTTGCAGTTGTACCTTTTTAATATTGTCTCCTTGAGAAACAGACAGCTCTCCTGAATTCCTTTTTCCTTTTGAATTTGTCCTTATTGGACTTTATTCATTCTCTGAGTGTCTAAGTCCATTTTCCTTACTCTGCTGCTTTCACTTCTTCCTTTCTTTAGAATCATGAAATCTGTTATTTCATGTTCACCTTCATCCAAATCACCATGCCTTCAAATTTCCTACCAATTCCTCTGTGTTAGAACCAGTTCTAAATGGCTGTCTCTCTGGTTAGTTCCTCCACCTTATCTTACCTCAGATATTCAGAGACACTGTTCCTAGTCAACAATAGGATAAACCAAATTTGGATTCTCTAGGACAAGCCATTTCAAAACTGACATTCATTTAAAAATCAGGATAAATTTTTAGAAGGGAATTTTTTTCAATCTTTTGTATCTCATTAGTTCCTGGTGTAATGGGCTCTCCTTACTGGATATGCTCAGTGAAAAATATGGTAGACACTGTACTTCCTTTTAAATTCACTGTCATTTTTATAGGCAGGATTTCCTAAATGTACCTTTTTATTTTGTTTCTAGAAAATAATTACTTTGACTTCTAATGGAATTAAGCCAACTGCCCCAGCTTCTTTCTTGCTTCAGTTCCCATCTTTGCTACTAATTAACTCACTTTTTTCATAGGAAGCAAATGCAAATATTCCTTTTGCTTTGCCTCACTTTTTGTCATATCACTGTGATTCTTGACCCCTTTTTTTTTTCTTTTCTCCTTTTTATTTCCATCTGAAAGCAATAAACTCTCCTATGACATACCCATTCTCAAATATCTAATCACTTTTCAGCCTTGATCTAAATTCTGTCTATTGTCCACCTTCTGACTTTATCCATGCTTTTGTGTCCATTTGATATTTGACCTTTTTCTGGTTTCATCTCCTTATTCTGAATTGCTTAATCCTCACTATCTTCTTTCCTAGCTATAATTCTAAGCGTAACAATTTCAGTTACAAAATTGATAAATCTTATGTCTTTGCTAATTTAGGATAAAGGATTTAGAATGTAAGCTTCATGTAGCATACCTGACTTTACAAAAAGAAGAGGAAACATTTCAGAGAAAGTAAGTATTTCTGATATATGACATTGCATTCAAAGACAGAGTGTGAGTGTGTGGGTTTATTGGGTCACTGAGTGGGGTAGGGAGGCAGCACCTGCAAACGCAGAGCCACATGGAGCCATCGGTGCCTCCCTGAGCTGTGTCAAGTAGGCACTCCAGTCCCCTACACCCTCCCACCCAGATCCCACATCCCCACCGTCACTTGCATCCCGTAGCCTTGCAGACCCCACCCCTTCCCCCATTCTGTTCTCGTACCCTACCTCCCACCCAGACCATGCACTCCCACCCCAGCTGCTCTATGGCAGCCCCCCCATCTGCACATGGAACCTCTTATTTTGGCCCCACCTCAGAGACTAGGGGTCCCACAAAATCTACAAGCCCTGGCCCCCCATTTGGGGATTAGGTCAGTGAGGGTTTTTTTGTGGCTCCCAACTAATTTTTGGGGGGTCAGTGGACTCTTAACTCAAAAAAGGTTCTCTACTCTTGTTTTAGAGGTTTGAGTGTAACTGAATTTGGCCTTCCAGAAGGGCACAAGATACCACCAGGCAACCTTAACTCTATGTTAACAAAGCATTTTGTCAATGAATAAAGAAAGCGTTTAAAGAAAGTTATGATTTTGTTCATGTAGTTGCAGTTTAATGTCGATTCAGTAAAGCATTTCAATACATGCTTAAAATGGGCTATTTCATGTATTTGAGTGTAAGCATGTGGTTAAGTGTTTTGCTGAATAGCTACTAAGTTTATTAACATACATCATATTTTTATCATTTTACTCCAGGTTGCTTGATTCCTTTTTATAGTATCATTCCTTGTTGAAGAACATATTTAGTCTGTCCCATGAATTGATTAATTTGATCCTAATGATCTTAGACCTTGTTCTAAGAGCTTTACTTTTTAGTTCTCCAGATCTTCTCAAACAGAAGTGACACAAATATTTGTGAAGTCCACTGATATGCACAAGTTTACGCTGTACTTTTTATCATTTTAAACCTTAGACTTGAGGGAAACAATCCAAACAAACAATAGTCTTAATTTGTATATTGGTGTTTTCTAGACATGAGGTGCTAGATCACTTTGCCAAGGAGAAAGATGCAGTACTGGCTTCAGTGAAAGAAGTCCATGCTGAGCAAATACAAAAATTGGAAAATCAGATAAGAGATCTACAAATAAGTAATGAGACTGTGGAGATGGAGTTGCGTAGAAGAGAATGGAGGCATGCAGATTGCTTGAGGGAGAAAGACACTGTAATTGAAAAGTGAGTGTTGTTTGATTAATCTGAATTCTATGAACTACAGGTGAAAGACAGAAATCAGAAAATCTTACATGATCAGTGTTGTGTTTCATTACTTATATGACTCAAAAAGTGTACAGTTATTCAGTTAAGATTGTTTTAGATACTAGGTGTGGTATCTGACCAAAGGTGAGTATTTATAGAATTTTTGGGAAAAATATTTTCCAGAGTAGAACTACTGGAAAAATGAATTGTTGCTATTAACAACATAAAAAGTTAAGACTTTTCTTTAGTTTCTGTTGTTGAAAGTGAGCGGTTGTCGAAGTGAAAATATCTCATTATTGTAAAACATAGTGTAATTTCTATAAGATTATAATTTAGCCAAATCAAAACAGATTTTACCAGACTATAAAAGTCCAATATCCCCTTTTCTTCACCATATCACCCCCCCTACCTCACTACTCCATTCCCCTCCCCTCACTCCCCATTCCTCTCTTCCTTCCCTATTCTAGTGCCTCTTCCCCCACCTCCTCCCCTCAGTTCCCACCAACACCCACTTACCCAGCCCCACCTTAGGCATCTTTTCTTTACATCTCTCCATTGACTCTTCTTTGTTGCATCAAACATAAGATACTTGTGTCACTTTCAAGCCGCTTATCCACTTATCTCCACCCTACCTATCATTTCTTATTCAGTATTAAATGGTCAGTGCCTGTCTGATTGGCCTACAGCAGGGGTTGGCGACCTTTTCAAAGCAAAGAGCCAAATTGCATCAAAATTCAGAACAAGCGGTCATCAAAGCTGTATAAGAATGCCCATTTGCTTGATTGAAAATATACAACTTAATATTATTGATAGTGGACATAATGACTAATTATAGCATAAATGAAACATTGTACTCACAGACTTTATTTAATGAGACTTCTGCTGCTACATCTTTTCACACAGTTTTGAAGTTTACATCATGACTAGTCAAATCCATCTTCATGCATGCATTCGAGCTGTCTTCTCTCAATCTTATGGCGGGGTTGGTGATGTGGGGGTGCAGGAGTCTAGGTTGGAGTGTATGAGGGGCTCAGGGCAGGATATTGGGGTGTATGATGGACTCAGGGCACAAGGTTAGGCTGTGTGGGTGCAGGAGTGTTGTGGCAGAGGACTAGGGATGTGGGTGTGCATGAGTTTGGGGATGTGGGGGTATGAGGGACTCAGGGCAGGGGGTTCAGGTGTATGATTTGGAGTTGTGGAATCCCCATCTCTGGAGATGTTTAAAAGTAGGTTAGATAAATGTCTATCAGGGATGGTCTAGACAGTACTTGGTCCTGCCATGAGGGAAGGAGACTGGACTCGATGACCTCTTGAGGTCTCTTCCAGTCCTAGTATTCTGTGATTCTATGAGTGCTCAGGGTTCACTGAGCTAAATTTAGAGGTGACATAATTGTGGTTTAGATTACATGTTTGCAAATGGAAGAGTGGTCTTAGAGCCAGAAAAACAACCCACAGGAGGGAGATAAGGATGAACAAGGTCAAGTGGGGTAGAGCCTTCAATGGATGGTATAGGAGTGTTATGACACTGCAGCCAGATGTGGGCTGGGCTCCAATTGGGGACTTGTTGTTCAGGCTTCATTTTTAAATAAAGTAAAATATTACGTCCAACACAAAAGGTTTCAATGTTGTCTTTATTTGTGGCAGGGGTGGGGAACCTTTTCTTGGTTGGGACCACTGACTCTCAGAAAATTCAGTTGGGAACCATATAAGTGAGAGGCAAAAAAAAAAAAAGTCCTCCAAACCTTCCCCCCCAACCCTCACTGATGTGACCTCCAACTGAAACTCCTCACTCCCCTGCTGCGCCAGCCCCATAGTAGGGGGAGGGCCAGGGAGGATAGAGGCTCAAGGCCTCAGGTCAGATTTACTCTTCTGGAGTTCCAGAGATAGTGGATTTTGTGGGCCCCCTTAGGCTCTGGGTTGGGGCCAAAAATGAGGCATTAAGTGTGTGAGACAGGGCTGCCAGTGAACGGGATAAGGATGGGAGTACAGGATCTGAGTGGGAGGTGGGGTGTGGGAGGGGGTGATGGGGTGGGCTCTGGCCAAGGGGCTGGGGTCAGGGGGTGTCTGGCTGGGGGCAGAGGGGATTTTGGGCAGGGGGAAGGATTCACTAGGGGACTGGGGGGATTTTGGCCATGGGGCAGAGGGCAAGGGGTGTTTGGCCAGGAGGCAGGGAGGATTTGGTCAGAGGGCTGGGGACAGGGGACAGGCTGTGTCTGGCCAGGGGAGAGGTAAAGGGGGGGGGGGCATCTGGGCATGAGGAAGTGTGGGGGGACACTCACTTGTTTTCGCGCCATGCAGCAAGCAACGTGTAACACGCCTCCCACTGCTCCTATTCGCCAGTAGGAAGCCTGCAAGAAGGGTTGGTAGGGGAGGCCTGCAGGAATTTTCCCCTGAGGGAACAAATTAGCAGTACACAGGGAGCCATATTTGGTTCCTGGTTTCCCCTACTCCAGGGTGAAGGAAAATGCTGTAGTGCCAAGTTATTTTTAGCTCTGTTCCCTGCATGCCAGCTTCTCTCTCCCCACCCCAGCCCCGTCCCAATGCATGAAGTCGTCTTGCAGGGGCTGTAAAACTATAGCACCAGCGCTGGCTCCCTGTTGTGAGGGGAGTAAGGGAAAGCTGAGTTAGGGCTCCAGGAGAGCCGTATCTGGCTCCCTAGAGGGACATATTTGGCTCATGAACCATAGGTTGCTGACTGCCACAGTGTCAGCCTCCATTGCCTGAAATGATAGCTCTGTGACTTGTGAACTTCTCTGTTCCACTGTTCATCTCAGTGGGTATTTTCTTTTCCCTCTCCCCATGTCAGTAGTTGAGAGCTTGTGATTTTCACCAAGCATGTTCAATCTCAGATCCTCACCCTGGTGTTAGAATAATAGAATATTAGAACTCGAAGGGACATAGACAGGTCATCAAGACCAGTCCCCTGCACTCAAGGCAGGACCAAGCACTGTCTAGATCATTCTTGATAGATGTCTATCCAACCTACTCTTAAATATCTCCAGAGATGGAGATTCCACACTCTCTCTAGGCAGTTTATACTAGTGTTTAACCATCCTGACTGATAGGAAGTTTTTCCTAATGTCTAACCTAAACCTCCCTTACTGCAATTTAAGCCCGTTGCTTCTCGTGCTGTTCTCAGAGGCCAAGGAGAACAATTTTTCTCCCTCCTCCTTGTAACATCCTTTTAGATACTTGAAAACTGCTATCATGTATCCCTTCTCTTTTCTGTATAAGCCCAATTCTTTCAGTCTTTTCTCATGGGTCATGTTTTCTAGACCTTTAATCGTTTTTGTTGCTTTTCTCTGGACCCTCTCCAATTTCTCCACATCTTCCTTGAAATTTGGTGCCCAGAACTGGACACAATACTCCAGTTGAAGCTTAATGCTCAGGACCCTGATGAAAGGAAGAAAGGGGAGTAGCAAAATACACACTCAAACTTAAGAAAAGCAGACTTTGACTCCCTCAGGGAACTGGTAGGCAGGATCCTCTGGGATGCTAACATGAGGGGAAAGGAGTCCAGAAGAGCTGGCAGTATTTTAATGAAGCCTTATTGAAGGCACAGGAACAAACCATCACAATGCACAGTAAGAAAAGCAAATATGGTGAGCTTAAACACAAAAAAGAAGCTTACAAGAAGTGGACATTTGGACACAACTAGGGAAGAGTATAAATATATTGCTCGAGCACATAGGGGTGTAATCAGGAAGGCCAAAGCACAACTGGAATTGCAGCTAGAAAGGGATGCGAAGGGAAACAAACAAGGTTTCTAGAGGCATTTTAGCAATAAGAGGATGATCAGGGAAGGTGTGAGATCTTTAGTGAATAAAGGGAGGTAACCTGGTGATAGATAATGTGGGGAAAGCTGAAATACTCAGTGCTTTTCCCCCCTCTGTGGGAAGCCCTCAGTGGAGTGAGAACAGGTTAAGAACTATTTAGAAAATGTGGATGTGCACAATTGCGTAGGTCTGGATTTAATGCATCTGAGGGTGCTGAGGGAGTTGGCAAATGTCATTGCAGAGCCATTGGCCATTATCTTTGAAAACTCATGGAGGTCCCAGATGATTGAAAACAGGCAAATGTAGTCCCCATCTTTAAGAAAGGGAAGAAGCACAATTCAGGGAACTATACACTCATCAGCCTCACCTCAATCCCCAGAAAAATCATGGAGTCTATTTTGAAGCACTTGGAAGACAGAAAAGTGATCAGGAATAGTCAACATGGATTCACCAAGGGCAAGTCATTCCTGACTAACCTGACTGCCCTCTATGACGAGGTAACTGGCTCTGTGGACATGGGGAAGTTGGTGGATATGATATACGTTGACTTTAGCAAGGCTTTTTATACAGTTTCCCACAGTATTCTTGCCAGCAAGTTAAGGAAATATGGATTGGATAATTGGACTGTAAGGTGGATAGAAAGCTTGCTAGATTGTCAGGCCCAACGGGAAGTGATCAACATCTTGATGTCTGGTTGGCAGTTGGTTTCAAGTGGAGTACCCCAAGGGTCAGTTCCAGGGCGGATTTTGTTCAGCATCTTTATTAACGACCTGGAGAAGAGGCTGGATTGTACCCTCAGCAAATTTGGGGTAGATATGTTTGGTTCCTGGTAAGGGAAGAGGTAGATATGTTGGCGGGCAGGGATAGGGTCCAGAGTGACCTAGACAAATTGAAGGATTGGGCCAAAAGAAATCTGATGAGGTTCAACAAGGACAAGTGCAGAGTCCTGCCTTTGGGACAGAAGACTACCAAGCACTGTTACAGGCTGGGGACTGACTGGCTAAGCAGCAGTTCAGCAGAAAAAGACCTGGGGATTACAGTGAATAAGAAACTGGATATGAGTCAAGAGTGTGCCCTTATAGTCAAGAAGGCGAATGGCATATTTGGGTGCATTAGGAGGAGCATTGCCAGTAGATCTAGAGAGGTGATTATCTCCCTTTATTCAGCACTGGTAAGGTCACATCTGGAATATTGTGTCCTGTTCTGCCCCCTCCCCATTATAGAAAGGATGTGGACGCAAGGGGAGAGGGTCCAGTGGAGGGCAACCAAAATGATTAGGGGGCTGGAGCACATGACCTATGAGGAGAGGCTGAGGGATCTGGGCTTATTTAGTCTGCAGAAGAGCAGAGTGAGAGGGGATTTGATTGCAAGCTTTAATTTTCTGAAGGAGGTTCCAAAGAGGATGGGGAGAGGCTGTTCTCAATAGTGACGAATGGCAGAACAAGGAGCAATGGAATTCAGTTACAGTGTGGGAGGTCTAGGTTGGATAGTAGGAAAAACTAGTTTACTAGGAAGGCGGTGAAGTACTGGAAAGGGTTACCTAGGGAGGTGGTGGAATCTCCACCCCTAGAGATTTTAAGTCCCAGTTTGGCAAAGCCTTGGCTGGGATGATTTAGTTAGCATTGGCCCTGCTTTGAGCAGGAGGTTGGACTTGATGACCTCCTGAGGTCTCTTCCAGAGTCTATGATTTGTCATAAAACAATCCTCAGTCCTCTTCACTGAAGGTCTATGAATTTCTGTTGGTTGATAGAGAAATCATCAGTAATACAAATATTGCTTTGGTATATTTGCAAAATGTAAATTTTAGGAGGACATTTAATAAAATCTGTTGCTTAGAATAAAATTGTTTTGAAATAGTTTTTTTGTGTTACATAATGTGATTTGTCCACTTGGTTTCTTAAAAAGAAAAAAGCTACTTTGTTTGAACAAGTACATGACTTACATACTTTGTGTAGGCTTGAAGGAGAGCTAACAACACTTAAAACCAGATGGGATTCTCATCTAGCTCAGATTTCCAAAGACACCATTTCCAAAGACCTTCAAATTCAGTCCTTGCATGAGGAGAAGGTGAAGCTGAAGGCAGAGCTGGCCAGATTCCAGAAGGATATAGAAAGGTACTGAGATTGCTAAACCCTTGACTCCTGAATGGTTTTGTTTAGGGATAAGGATTTAGAGCAGATTTTTAAATGCTCTCATGATATGTCTACACTGTAGCTAGGAGTGAGCCTTCCAGCCCAGGTGGACAGACTGTCACTGAGGGCTCAAGCTAGCACTCTAAAAACTGTACTATGGATGTTGTAGCTCCAGTGAAGACACGAACTAGCCACCCCAGCTCAGACCCAGGCGGAGTCAGATGGGCTTGAGACCCTGAGGTGCAGCCCAAGCTGCAGCATCCACGTTGCTATTTTGAGCAGGCTAACTCAAGCCCCCACTATTGCAAGTCTGTCTCTCCACACTGGGAGGCTTGCTCCCACTGGCAGTGCAGGCATACTCCAAGTGATTGGATCTTCCCTTTGTGCCATTCAAATCCAATGAGCGTTTTGGCATCGATTTCAGTGGGAGCAGCATTTGGTCAGTGCTGAGTGCTCTGGAAAAGCCCACCTTTCAGTCTGATTCTTTTACTTTCCTTATCAACCTTGTGTCCTGGTTCACCCAAACATCATTATAGTCCGTTCACAATGTCTCTTATTCTCTTTTTCTGCTATATTGCAGATGGAAGAAAAATCACAGCTGATTAGTACTTCAGTCATACTGGATTTTCTTTCTGTTGTTACTTCCTTCTTCATTTAACCACAGTCCTAGTGTCTTTCCCACAACCTAGGTTTTTTTCCCATGGACATAATTTCTTCTCATTTAATTTACCTATTCATCTAACAATTTTTTTGCCATTTTGAATTGATTTCTACAAGTTGATGTACTGTCCTTGAACACTATACTCCGATCACGTTATCTCTATAGTCCTTTTTTCCATTTTTTGTACAATCACAGTATTCATTTCAGCTGTACATATAACTATCCTGTTTTGTGACTCATTAGCCTTTTCTCTGTGTCTCTGTGGTGGTACAATATCCTATAGGATCTTCCATCCTTCATTTACTACTATTCCCATTCATACGTCTGATTATGGGGCCGCCTGCACTAGTTCCTTTCATTTCTCCGATTGCTGTTTATGGAATTGATCAAACATTGTCTAACTACTTTTTGTAATTTTCTTCCTCGGTTTTGTAAATTCCCCAAATTGATTGGTATGTACTCCAGGAATTCCCCTTTACTAACAAGGCCCTAATTAGCTCCCCCTCTAAGTTAGTATAAAATCCAAAATTGCCTTTTCTCACATGGTCTTCTCCACTCTTTGAAATAAGAAGTTGTCTTGTGTAGAATTCAAAATGCTAGTTAATTACCTATTATTATATGTTTCAGAAATTATAATCTCCCTTTGGCACCAGAGCTTGAGACTTTGGACATAGTATGTTGCTTTCCCAGTTCGATGGTCTTAGTAGCTGAAATAGACATTCAGGGACCTGAAAAAATCACTCACCTTGGTCCTTTGTATCACAGGTATAGACAGCAACTATCTCTTGCAGCAGAGCGTGAGCTGATTCTGGAACGGGCTCAAGTGCAAGCAGAGCTGGACTGGCAGCAGCGCTATGAAAATGCTGAAAGAAATCAATATCAGAAATCTGAGGCTCTCATACAGAGCCTGTCAACAGTAAGGGACCAGGTCATTATCAGGTCAAATTGACTTTGGTGTGTACTGAGTGGCTTTATCAGCACAGGGGCTGGACTTGATGACTCTCAAGGTCCCTTCCAGTCCCACATCTCTGTGATTCTGCAGACTATTTACTTGGGTTTAAAATAATAAACAAGAAACTTGTCCAATGCCATAAGCACCTTAACATTATTAATAAAAGTCTCAGAGGGTAGCTGTGTTAGTCTGTAACCAAAAAAACCCTAAAAAAATTGGATGGTCCTGTAGCATCTTAGAGACTAACCAAAAATATAGATAGTATCATGAGCTTTTGTGGGCACAACCTACTTCTTCAGATGTCAAATATGGAGCAAGGGGCCCAGGGTATAAATATATAGCAGAAAAAGAGGGGCGAGGGCAAGGGAAAAAAACCTGTCAATTAAAGTGTCTATGCTAAATGAGGCTAGTGGCGCCCAATACTTAGCTTTTGATGTCATTTGGGTGTTGAATATAATGGCCCATCCAAGACATATCTTTGTTCATTGCTTGGGTGAATGTGTCACATATGCATATGAAGGCCAGTTCCGCAGACTAGCTGGTTCCTGAAATTACTTTGAAAGAGGATAGCCACTTTTAGATCCATTAATGAGTGCCCCAATATGTTAGTGTTCCCCAATAGATTTCTGTGTGTTACCATTTCAAATATCTGATTTGTGTCCATTAATCCTTTATCGTAGAGATTGTCCAGTTTGGCCAATATATATGGCAGAGGGGCATTGCTGGCAATTGATGGCATAGATAACATTGGTGGATGTTCAGTTATATGAGCCTTTGATATGGTGACTTACGTGATTAGGGCCTTTGATGATGTTGCTTGTGTAGATGTGTGGACAGAGTTGGCACTGGAGTTGATTGCAGGAATGGGTTCCTGGATGAGTATAATTGAGGTATGCTGTGTGGTTATTGGAAATAATTTGTTTTAGGTTAGGGGGTCGTCAGTAGACGAGGATTGGCCTGTCGCCCCCACCCCTCCAAAGCCTGTGAGACTGAGGGATCATTTTCCAGTAAAAGTTGTAGATTGTTAATGATGTGCTTGACAGGTTTAAGTTGGGAGCTGTAGGTGATAAATAGTGGTGTTCTGTTATTTTGGTTTTTGGCCCTATCTTGAAGAAGCTGATGCTTGGGTACTCATCTGGCTCTAGTTTTTCACTTCCGCTAGTGGATATTTAAGTTTTAGGAATGCCTGATAGAGATCTTATAGGTGTTTGTCTCTGTCTGTGGGATGGGAGCAAATCCGGTTGTATCTTAGGAGCTGGCTGTAAATAGTTGATCAGGTAATGTGTCCTGGATGAAAGCTAGAGGCATGTAGGTAAGTATAATGGTAGGTAGTTGTTGAAATCCCTGTGGATTTTTTTCAAAGGTCTCCTTCCCATGGGTTCTATGATGAAGATGTTGTTCATATAGCATAAATAGAGTAAAGGTATTAGAGAGCGATGAATTCCACAGAGATTTCAACAACTTCCACCTACCATCAACCTCAGTCAGGACCAGTTCATACAAGAGAATCTAATTCCTTGAGACTACCATATAACTAAATGATAGCGTCATTTCCATCCCCTTATACTAGAAACCTACCAACCCTTATACTTATGTCCATGCCTCTAGCTTTTATCCAGAAACACATTACCCAATCAATTGTTTACAGCCTGCCCCTAAGATACAACCAGCTTTGCTCCAATCCTACAGATAGAGACAAACACCTCCAGCAGTGTTTCTTAAGGGGCCCACGGATCTACTCTGAGAAACCTGCTAACTGGCCTCTTCAGGCCAACGGGAGCCGCAGGAAGCGGCGTGGGCCAGGCCATTGCTTCCTGCACTCCCTTTGGCTGCAAGTGGTGAACCGGAGCCAATGGGAACAGCAAAGCTCTGTGGCTGTGGAGATGGTAAGTAAACAAACTGGAGTGGCCAGTTAGCAGATTTCTCTTTAACTCATGTGATAAAGGCACATGGCTTTAGTCCTTAAGGTCTCAGGTTCCATTCCTCCTGCTGCTGAACAGGGTCTGTTGGCAAGGGCAGAGTGGATCCATAGACCACTTTGAGAAACACTGACCTACAGGAGCTCTATCAGGCATTCCTAAAATTTAAATATCCACCCATGGAAGTGGAAAAAACCAGATTGACAGAGCCAAATGAGTACCCAGATATTGCTGCTTCAAGATAGCCCAACAGAGAAAACCACTTTATCATCACCTCCAGCCCCCAACTTAAACCCCTCCAACACATTATCAACAATCTACAACCTATCCTGGAAGATGACTCCCCACTCTCACAAGCCTTGGAAGACAGCCCAATCCTCATTTACAGGCAACTGCCAAACCTCAAACAATTTTTTTCCGGTAACCATGCCGCATACTTCAGTCATACTCACCCAGGAACCCACCCCTGCAATCAACTCCAATTCCAACTCTGTCCACATGTCTACACGAGCAACATCATCACAGGATCTAACCACATAAACCACCACATCCGAGGCTCATATAACTGCACATGGACCAAGGTGATCCATGCTATCAAGTGCCAGCAATGCCCCTCTGCCATGTATATTGGCCAAACTGGACAGTGTCTACGACAAAGGATTAATGGACACAAATCAGATACTCAAAATGGTAACACACAGGAACCTAAAACAACAATGAAAGGCCCTGTAGCACCTTAGAGACTAACCAAAAAATATAGATGATAACATGAGCTTTCATGGGCACAACCCACTTCCTTCACATTGCAGATACTGCAGTCTGATTCTTGTTTTAAAAAGTAAAACCGTAATCCTGGTGTTTTGTAATCTAAGTGCTTTATAGACATTGCTGAATGTCTGGGAGGCACATGATTATTCTTGTCACTTTTTCAGAGGTTAGGAAGTTGAGGCACAGGGAAGTTGAGTGATTTTTTTTTTAGGTAACAGAAGGCTGTGGCAGAGCCAGAAATAGCATATAAGTTTCTTGATTTCCTGTTTTGTGATTGGACCAGAACCTCCCTTCTAATAGCTTTGCTCTCTCTGACTTGAGACACCGTAACTTTGTGTTTTGTAGGTTACAGCTCAGCTACAAGAGAAGGATCAGAAGCTGTGTGAAATGGAGACACTTCTGTCTGCTTTGACCTTTGAAAGAGACCAAGCAGTGCAGGCACTTCAGAAACATGGTATATTGCCTGAAGGAGAGAACCAGGTTAGACAGGAGATTGACCGGTTGGTGACCACTGTGTTAGTCTTAAATGAATATTTTAAAAACACATGAAAGTGCAAAATATTTTTAGAATGCCTGTTGCTCTTTAAACATCCCAATTTCTGTCTCCTGTTAAGAGCTCCATTTTATTAATTCTCGGCAGGAAGTCCAATTTGTGGACATAGTGTTTGGTTACAAGTGACCTATGAGGGAAGATTGAGAGAGTTGGGTTTGTTTAATTTGGAATAGAGAAGAGAAAACAGACATAATGGCTTTGAAGTGTCCAAAAGGTTACAAATTGGGGGGAGAAAAAGTATTTTTCTTTTAACCTCTGTGGATAGGACAAGAAGCAATGGCCTTAAATTGCAGCAACGGAGATTTAGGATGAACATTAGGAAAAACTTCCTAACTGTCTGGGGGTATGTCTACACTAGCCACCCTAGTTAAAATACCCTGGGCTTTATTTGCATGTTCCCAGGCGCCGCCATTTTTAAATGCCCAGTAGTTCGAACTCCCTGCCCGCGGCTACATGCGGTACGGGCTAGGTAGTTCGAACTAAAGCCCCTAATTCAGACTACCGTTACTCCTCCTGCAATGAGGTGGCTAATGTAGGATATTTTAATCCCGGGCTTCATTTGCAAGTTTGAATGACTACATTAGCCACCCTAGTTCGACCTAGGGTGGCTAGTGTAGACATAACTTGGGTGGTTAAGCACTGGAATAAATTATCTAGAGAGATCATGGAATCTTCATCATTGGAGCTATTTAAGAGCAGGTTAGATAGGCATCTGTCAGGGATGATCTAGATGGTGCTTGGTCCTGCTGTGAGAGCAGGGGACTGGACTTGATGACCTCTCAAGGTCCCTTCCAGTTCTAAGGATGTTAAAGAGCAGTTATTTAGTAGTTGATATAATTTGTATCAACTACACGATTAGTCAATGAGGGGTCCTCTCTGCCGAACCTCAGCGGGGTAGCTCCTGGAACTGGCTTGAGCTGGGACTGAGGAGTCCCAGCTTGCGATGGCTCTGGACTGCTGTGCCTCTGCATTTTAAATGTAGTGAGAGGTCTTTAGAACGTAGAGGCACAGCGGTCCTGGACTGGCATGAGCCAAGACTGCTTGGTCCTGGGTTGCACCGGATTCAGTAGCCCATGTTCGCAGTGTCCTGGCCTGGCTATGGGCTGGGGCTATTCCAGCCTCTGTCCGCAACCAGCCCCAGCCACCGCAAACAGAGGCTGGCAGCAGCCCCTGCCCACGACCAGCCTGGGCCACCATGAAAGGAGCTGCTTGGCAGCAGCAGCCCCTCTGCAATGGGGGGCTCGGCTCCCCACTGGGACCCCTGTGAACAGGGGCTGCTGCCGAAGCAGCAGCCCATATCCCCCCTGCTGCCTCATATAGAAGCAGCAAGGAGGAGGGGAAAGTGAGTAGACAACTACTCACATCCCTAATTCTAGTGTTCTGTGCTTCTATGATGGCACTCTTGGCTTAAACATTGGTAGGGCTGGGCCCACTTTCCAGAATATTGCTGGAGGGTTGCACCTTGTGAGTCATCTACTTCAGACTCCTGCATTCAAGGCAGGGCTATGTAATAACTAGATCAGAGGTCTCTCAGTCCCAGCCTACAGGCATGCCCAGCTGGAGCAGTTTTGCAATCTAGCACATCAGTAGTGGTGGGCCGGGGTGGGGGGCAGACTTGTATGTACCAAGCCTCGCCCCTTTCTGCCACCACTTTGCCCTCCCTGCTATGGCATCCAGTCCCTAATGGGACCTGGCACAGGGTGGGAGCAGTGGTCACCCTCCCCCCCACCTTCCCCCTTTCCCTGCAGTAGCAGGAGCTATGGGGAAGCAGAGCTACTGGATCTGCCAAGTACTCTCCACCTCCTGCTGCTGAGTGGAATGCAGGGGGAAACCAATTGCTGCTGCCACACTGCACCAGCCCCCCTACCCCAGATAATTTCTGGGGTCACGTCCCTCATAGGGTGCCATGGGCGTGGTGTTGGTGGGAAGGGATGGAGCTTGGGTGAAAGGAACAGACAGCTCCTCCTGACCCGCAGCCCACTAGTATTCCTAGGCTAGGAGTTTGAGACTCCTGAACTAGACCATTCCTAACAGAAATGTGCTCTCTATTTCCCCCCCCCCCCCCACTCATGTGTGGAATAAATGTTATTATATGCACCAAGATGTGTAGATGTGCACCCCCAGTAGAAACACATGCTGCCAGTTGTGGGTGCTGTGGGCACTCTGCCAATCAGTTGGGTGGCACTTGACTCTCATCCAGGCGGCTGCCGAAGCACACGGCTTACAAGGAACACAGCCAGGCAACTGTTTATCTAATCTGGTTTTATAAACTGTCAGTGATGGAGATTCCATAATCTCTCTAGGCAGTTTGTTCCTGTACATAACTACCCGTACACAAAGTCCAAACTACACCTTTCGAGGTGCAATTTAAGCCCATTGTTTCTTGTCCTATCCTCAGAGGTTATGAAGAATATTTTTTTCCCTCTTCCTTTTATGTACTTCATGTCCTGCCCTTCCCCGCAGTCTTTTCTTCTCAAGACTAAATAAACCCATTTTTTTCAGTATTTCCTCATAGGTCCTGTTTTTCTAGATCTTTAATAGTTTTTATTGCTCTCTTCTGGACTTTCTCCAATTTGTCCACACCTTTCCTGGCAGGTCATGCCCAAAACTAGACACGATATTCCACAGGAGACCTAATCAGCATGGGGTAGAATGGAAGAATTACTACTTACGCATTGCTTACAATACTCCCGCAGAATGATGTTCACTTTCACGCAACAGTGTTAAATTGTTGATTCATATTTAGTTTGTGATCCATTCTAACCTGCAGATCCCTTTCTACTCCTTCCTAGTCAGTCATTTCCCATTTTGTACATGCACAACTGATTGTTCCTTCCTTAAACGGAGTCCTTTGCATCTGTCCTTATTGAATTTCATCCTATGTACATCAGACTATTTCTCCAGTATGTTCCAAGTATTTTTAATTTTAATCCTCTTCTCCATGGCACTTGCAACCCCTCCCAGTATGGTACCATATAAGTAAACTGTCTATCCTTGAGCAGTTTTGTGACTTCATGCTCCTGGCACGATGAAGGCGTGGCAGGTATTTTTCTCCTTCTAAGGGGCTTCACTCTAAGTTCCCTCTAGGGTGTGCGCCTGTGCGGACACAGACAAAGAATTTTAATCCCACCCACCTCCTTAGCAAAGCCACATGGCAGAGCTGGACCTACAGCCGGGGCCATGTGGGGCTGGCCAGGTGTTCCCAGGGTGGGCTGCATGGCAGTTGGCTGCTGGAGCTAGAGCCAGGGCTGCAGTGCGACTGCTCCTGGGGCCAGGGCCCCCTGCATCCCTGTCCCCTTCCTCCACACCTCTCTTCCCCCCTCATTGTCCTTTGGCTCTCAGGGTATGTCTAGACTACAGGATTTTGTCGACAGATACTGTCGACAAAGTTTCTGTTGACAAAGAGCGTCTAGACTACATTCAGTTCTGTCGACAAAGCAAGCCGCTTTATCGACATAACAGTGTGGACGCAAAGGACAGTGTAAATGCAATAATCCCTTCTGTCGACAGAACTCTGTCGATAAAAGGCGTTATTCCTCGTAGAATGAGGTTTACATACGTCGACAAAACTGCTGAGTTTTGTCGACTTTATGTCGACATAACTCAAAGGCAGTGTGGACGCAGGTATAGTTTTGTTGACAAAAGTCCACTTTTGTCGACAAAACCCTGTAGTCGAGACACACCCTCAGAGCCCTCTGTCCTCTTAAGTCCCCATCTGGCTCCCTGCATGTTTCTACCTCACTCCCATCCCCCCTCCCTCTCCATACAAACCCTGGGGGCTGTCCTCTGCTCCAGGAAGGGAAAATATATAGTTAGCAGATTACTGGGTCTATCCATATTGATTAGAACTGCTCTGATACTGATGTTTATTCAGCATACATGGTATTCAGAGCAATGGTGGAACTGTATCTTGTATATCAGGGCTACTCAACTTTGGAAGCCCCATGGGCCACAGTGATACTCACAGCACATGCCAAGGGCTGCAACTTAAGTATGGTAGCATATATATGCAAATAGCTTATTTCACACTGACAGGGGGCATAAATATAAAGTACTTCCCCCAGCGCTCCCAGCACTGCCCCCCTGGGGGCTAGAAACACTGACACCCTGTACCCGGTCTGTTCTAGCCAGCCCATCTGCTTGCATCTTTCAGGGCTCACCCCACCTGGGAGATGCCTCACCATTGTGGAGCGTGTTCCCAGTGGAGGCCACCCATGGGCCGCATGTTGAGCCCTGTGTAAACCGAAACCACCCCGCAGGCCGCAAACAAACGACCCACAGGCCGCATGTTGAGTAGCCCTGTTATATATAATAGTAAGTAATGTATGGGGAAGAGGAAATACTGCAAATATGTCATAGCCTGCTTTGGGTTTCTTTACATAAAAAGATTGGGTCAGATCCACTTGTGCTACGCTTTGCCCCATTCTGGCAATGCCAGATAGCAGAGTTTAACCAGCTTGTGTAGAATTCCTCCAGCATCTTGATTGTGTAGAGTAGTATATTTTCTTCCACTATTTGATCTGAGGAAGTGGGTCTAGCCCACGAAAGCTCATCATCTAATAAACCATCTTGTTAGTCTTTAAAGTGCTACATTGTCCTGCATTTTGCTTTAGTATATCTAGGAGAGAGTTTCTCCCAATAATTCCCAACTGCTTTAATGGCCCATAGGAGCTATAGGCTGACAAGCACAAAGTCCTCTCTGTACCTCTTGCTCCATTCATCTGAAGAAGTGGGTTGTGCCCACAAAAACTCATGATACCATCTATATTTTTGTTAGTCTCTAAGGTGCCACAGGACCACTCGTTGTTTAAGTTGTTTTAAGATGCAAACCAAGGCCGCTACTGCTCTGAGACTTTTAAGAACAAATTCCTTTAGCACTTGGTTACTCTCCTTTGCCCTGGGGATTTGCCTTATCCTTGGCTGGCCC